TCGGAAGAAATTTGTGAAATATATCAATGGATATACATAAGACACGTACACTAAAAGATTAAAATTAATGTAATAATCCTTAATGATTCAAAAGAAATGGTGAAATATGTTCCCAATGAATTCTAATGTGGATGTTTCAAAAATATAACAAATTAGAAGTATCTAAAAATATAAGTTCGATTTTATTTTTTATTTTTTATAAAATATAATTTATATATATTTAAAATATTTATGTACATACATACACACATATTTGAAAATTTTATGGGCCCTACTGGAGCAAAGGGCCCTGGGCGCATGCCCCTCCTGCCCATGCCCCAGGACCGGCCCTGTCTATACGATTGAAAGGCATGCATATTTCAAAAAATTATTATTTTCATTCATTTTCTTTTTATTTCTGAAATTAAATAACTAATTAACATGATTAATTCCTAATCTTAGACATGTTTCTTACGAGAATTCTAATATATTTACTGTAAAATTACATACTCCCTCCGTGTCATAACATTCTTCCCAATTTTGTTTGGATCACAATTTAAGAAAATGAGAATAAAGTTAAAATGTATGATTGTAGTTGAGTAAAAAAAAAGGAAATGAATATTACTCACACAAAACCTTTCATAAACAAAAAAGAGATTTTATTTTTTGTGACATTCCAAAAAGGTAGGTGGGGAAAATTTTATGAGACGAAGAGTTCATTTTTACTCGAGCGTCTCCGTGTAGAGATGTCGGAGCACACCCCCATGGACAGGGAAAGCGTATTAACTACAGATGTAATGTTTAGAATATTGAATCACCATTAAAAGATTTACTGAATAATGAAGGTTTTTCATCCTTCTTATAATTGAACTAGTTTTTGTGTCGCGCGTTGCGCGATTGAGCCAATGCCCAATACATTTATAAAATCTGTTTTTTAGTTAGTACTAAAATTATTACTATAAACTTTCTAAGTATTGAAACCAAACTATTTGAATTAGACAGAACAAATAACTACTAACTCGTCTCGTATACAGACAAGGGTTAATTATCACCTCTAATTCAAATCACTAAATCAAAGAATTGACAGCTAAACAATGGAACTAAATGTGGAACTTAAGGTCAGGGGTTTCGAATGGTAAGAATGACATTAACTGCAGAGGATGAAAGAGTATTATAGTCTAAAATTCTAGTTCTAAAGGAGGTGAGTTTAACTTTTCAATTGAGTGGATTTATATCTGGGTGTCAAAGATTTTGACTTTAACAATCTCTTAAGAGTTTGGAAGTACGTATTACTATGGATGCATGAGAACTATAGCCATTCAAGAACAATAGAAATAACGCAAAGTTTTTTTAAAAAAAGTGGATAAATAAGTTAGTCAAATATATACATAAAAAAGTTACATATATGAGTGTATGAGACTATGAGGTGGACTTTTTATTTCAAATTACAACTCAAAACAAAGTAGTCATATTATAAATAAAATAAATTATTGCACCGTTCTGAGTGTATCATCTAAGAGCAACAATGACAAAGAAAAAGATCAAACTAACATTAGCGATTAACATTATTTCATAGCCAATAACAAAAATAGCAAAGTGTTTCACCACAAAATAGACGTTCATTGACATATCAATAACATAAGGAGAACCATTCTCCAAACACATGGTTCCGATACCACAAACAATTTGACAATATATATAATTGAATAGAGATTAATTTAGCATTATAGGTGTAAAAACAAACAAGTACGCGGAAACAAACTTATAGTTAATTTTGACCCCGTTTGGTAACTCATAATTCCAGTTTATCATCCTTATCAACCATCTTTTTTACCAAACACGTACTTTTTCATCTTTTGGCTTAAAAAGGGTTAAAATGAGTTTTTTCAAGTGAAAACTTTTGTTTAAATTAAGCACTTTAAAGCTAAAAGTTGGAAGCAAGTGGGGGGGGGGGGGGCTTAAGAGCCCGTTTGGTAGCACGAAAATCGGCTGATTTGGCTGATTCTGTTGAAATTTATGAAGTTCTGGCTGAAGTGGCTGCATTGGCTGATTCTGATGATTTAGGAAAAAATATTTTTAAAATATATTTTATTAATAAAATAAAGAAAAAAATATATGTAAAAATAGTCAAAGTGGTCATCTACAGTAACTTCAGCCAATACATCCAGAAAACTAACTTCAACCTTACGTTTTTTGCTTATTATACAATTTAAAAACTTTTGTTTAAATTAAGCACTTTAAAGCTAAAAGTTGGAAACAAGTGGAGGGGGGCCTTAGGAGCCCGTTTGGTAGCACGCAAATCGGCTGATTTGGCTTATTCTGCTGAAATTTATGAAGTTCTGGCTGAAGTGGCTGCATTGGCTGATTCTGATGATTTAAGAAAAAAATATTGTTAAAATATATTTTATCAATAAAATAAAGAAAAAATTATATGTAAAAACAGCTAAAGTGGTCATCTACAGTAACTTCAGCCAATACATCCAGAAAAGTAACTTCAACCTTACGTTTTCTGCTTATTACACAATTCAGCGCGCGAAAGCAAAATTTACGTATTTGGTGAAAAAGTTGGCTGATAAGCCTTATAAACCGAAAAACAGTGTTGCCAAACAGCCTCTAAAAGAGCTTTTCACTTTTCTATTACACAAAAAACACTTTTTTTACCAAACACCACCAACATTTACTTTTTAGAAACACCTTTTTCAACACTACTAATTTTTACTATTAAGCACTTTCTTCAAAATCACTTTAAAGTTCACCTTTTAAAGTAGAAACAATCGGAAAATAATTTAATACTTTTCTGTTTGAATTGACTAACATTACCGTGGAATACTATTTCAGTTATTTTCATGTAATGTTTTCTTAATAAGATATAATTTAAACAAAGTAGCATTTCATCTTCTACATAACATATACAATGACCTAGAGAAAAGTTTTAAAATGCAAAATTAAATGAAAACATTACATAAAAATCAATCCCATTAAGTACATAGAATAATTTAAATACGAAAGCCACATATAGGATGTTAATAGGAAACTTAACAATTGGCAACGGAGTAAGTAGTAGAAATAAGAGTAATGATGAAAGGTACAATAATTAAAACAAATTGTATAAGTGTAACTTGCTTTAGTGTTACACCAACATTTTTATCATTCCTAAAATGCCCTAACCATCATTGGTGTTTATAAGTTTTTTAGATTTTAGATTATCGTGTTAATTAACACTACTACATTCTTTCCTAAAAACTTTGTCATTTTTAAAACTTTGACCAACAACATATTTTAATTTTATCAGATGTTTTTAGAAATGGAGGTAGTATTAAATTCGATTTAAGTCATTGTAATTTTCTTAAATTCATATGGTTTAGGTTTAAGATTATTTGTAATTTCAACTTTTTAAATCTCGATTAAGAATTACAATTTGGTTAAAAAATTCTGTCCAAATTTTAAACTTAGCAATTGTAAGTCCAACTAGACTAAACAAGGACTACAATTAGAATAAGAAAGTATGTTAGGATGTCTTTAATTGCACCAGACTTTTCTAGGCCGGTTTGATTTGTTTAAATCTAATCTGACCAGATAAAAGTCAGATATATGTATATACATTTAATATTGTCTACGCTTGTTCCGGTTTGGTATGATGTAATTTGTTTAAGTCATGTTAGATCTGATCTAATATGTTTAGTTTGGTGTAATCTAGCCTGATCTGTGTAGTCTATTCAGGCCTGATTTTATTTTTCTAGCATGTTTAAATCTGATCTTATGTGTGGCTATAGTTAGTGTAAATAAGAATGTCCTTAATTTCATTTAGTCTAGTAGAACTTACAATCATTGTGAGTAAAATTGGGATTGAAAGAAATTGTTAAATCAAATTATAATTGATGGTTTCCCCGACCCGGGGTAGCAGAAACCGAGAAGGAGAACTGAAATGTGCTAAGTATAGATTGAGTGAAAAAATTGAAGGAATAACATTAACCTTGTGTGCAAGAATAGGGACCCCTTTCCGCAAGTTGGAATGTGATAACAGCAATCTACCGTAGATATATTAGAATTCGAGTCAATTCCCTAAATAGGACTAAAAAGTGACAAAATTGCACAAATAGGACTACATTTTTTAAATTCCCTTAATAGGACTATTTATGTGTGTTTGGACAAATATACCCTTGTAACTTATGAAATGTTTTAATTAATAATAAAATCATAAAAAAATTAATAAAAATCGAAAAAAATACTAAAAATCGTAAAAAAATAATAGAAAATTAATAAAAAATATTTTTTAAAAAATAAAAAAAAAATTAAAAAAATAAAAAAAAATAAAAACAAATAAAAAAATCATAAAATAAAATAAAAACATTACCACCCCTGCCACCCCCCAGCACCACCAGCTCCCATCACCGGAGAAAAATATGCCAACATTTTAAATAATGCCATAATGATGGCATATTTAATGAAAATGTTGGCATATTGAAGAGTAATTATGCCATCTTTTTGGCATTTTCAGAAAAATATGGCATTTTTTTTATCAAAAGTGGAAGAAATTTCACCAATCGGAGGTGGTGGTGCTGGGAGGCGGCGGGAGGCGGTGGGAAAGGTATCCATAATTTTTTTCATTTTTTATGGATTTTTACTATTTTTTATTATTTTTTAAAAAAAATTAAAAAAATAAAAAATTAAATTTTTTATTTTATAAATGGTTTATAAATTTTTTATAAATTTTTTACGTTTTTTAAATATTTTTTTACGTTTTTTATGATTTTATTATGAATTAAAGCATTTCTTTATAAATTAATACTCTTAGGGGTATTTAGGGTAGAAAATCAATGTTAAGTCCTATTTAGGGAATTTTAAAAGTAGTAGTCCTATTTGTGCTTTTTAGGAACTCATTAGTCCTATTTAGGACAATTTCCGTTAGAATTCTCATAGAAACATGTTTAGGATTAGGAATTAATCATGTTAATTAATTATTTGATTTCTGAAATAATAAAATTGAATAAAAAGAGTAATTAATCACGCTGAGTTGCATACCTTTCAATCTAATAGAACGAAATGTGTGATCTAATCATTTTACGTTGTGAGGAAGAATGATACGGATTACGGAGTAATCTAATGATAATTCAGTGGTTCACTTAACTTAATTGTTTTTAGGAATGAGTTATGTATACGTAGTAGGACTACATGCTCATTAGGGACTCCATTTCACCGGCGGTTCCGAACGAACAGGCGGCTTAAGCTTAATTCTGAGATTTAACTTGAGCTCCAATTAACATACTCCGGACTTCCCGCAGCGAAGACAGAGGTAAGCAATGAGAGAGAAGAGTTTGCTCCTGATTTTGAGGCAAAACAAAACCTTGGGTTCGAAGATTTCATCGAATCTGAGCGGGTTGTTCAAATCAACCTCGACCCAAACTTCGGAAAAGTACAGGCTTTTTTCTGTCGCCAAGCTTGCTCCTTTAAGCAGAAACTCAGTTACCAGAAGCTTTGTCAATTATGGGTTCAGATCCTTTCGTCAGTTCAATCACAAGGTTATCTTCCTGCCTTTTTTTTATTAATATTCTGTTTGTTCATTTTTTCATTCATTATCACTACTCAGTGGCTATAAGAGACGTAATCATATGCTAAACGTTCTTGGATGATTTCCGGTAAGTGAAGATTGTTTATTAATTATTTAATTTCTATAAATGATCACAGTTTGGCTTTTTCAGTATCCCAGTTCTGGACAACCATTTGACTATTTGAGGTAGTTTATGCTTGATGACGAATGGAACTTGCCCTCTGTTTTTTTTTCAAGATAGTTATGTAATCATTAAAGTTTCATCATCCTACTTTGTTTTTTTATTGACTAGCTCTGTGGATATGTTTGGAACTATGGATCCTGAAACTAGGATAGAAAAATACTCCCTACTAAAGAAAGTTATTTTCTTATGTCTTGTTTTACCTTTAAGAATGCAAATGAATATAAATAGGATGAATGCTTTCAAAAAAAATGTGACAAATTTGAGCAAATTTAAAAAAAAAAATCTTGTTGTGTTTGAGCTAATGCTTTATTTCCCCCGAACTTCTCTTTCATTAGAATTTCCTCCCCAATTTCTTGCTCTAGCATTTTCTGCGCGTTCCAAACTGACATTTGTACATCAGTACTTAAAGTAGTGCCTGAAAATGTAATAATGGTTCAGGGATACAGACCATCATATAGAAATTTTTCCACTTCCACGGCTGCTGAAACAAAGGAGGAGTTGAAGCTCCTAGTAACTGGTGGGCCACATGCTCAGAAAGTGGTTGGGATATGGCTTTTCGCTTCAGCTGCTTGGGTGTTTAGTATGGTGGTGCTAGGGGGAGTAACACGCCTAACACGTTCTGGCCTTTCCATGACTGACTGGAAATTCACAGGGAGTTTGCCTCCTCTTTCAGATGAAGAATGGGTGGTTGAGTTTGAGAAATACAAACAATCCCCTGAGTATAAGCGGTTAGTTCCAATGCCTTATGTTGCAAATCACACTACTGTAGAACCTCCCCATTTTAATTTATACAACTCTATGCACTCGTTCGTTCTTACTTAGTGAAATACAGAACCATGTTTTACAGTGGAAATAAAATGGAAAGTGGAATTATATATTTTGTGGTAAAGTAGACAATAGAGTATAAAAATATAAATTTATGTGATAGAATAGTGAGGTATTTTGGAGTAGGAGTTGCAGTTCAAAAAGTTGTTACTCAAAATGAAGATTTATCTATCTTAAAGAAAAAACAAGAGGGTAACCATTCAAGTTGGTCTTAGTCCTAATTCAGAGAAACAACTCAGTTCAGGGATTATACTATAAACAATTTTTTCAATAATTCCCATGAGGTAAACACCCAAGTAGGATCAACATGCTTCTGCAAGAATTTGAGAAAATGACACTTTTAGTCCTGAATTTCAGCCTGGTGCATTTTGTATCGTCATATAGCTACCTCTCTATTCCAGCCCCTCAGTATCCCCTAGGCTATGTTTGAATCCCAGATAATAATACAGACTGTAAGAAAAGTTGTGTTTTTATAATTGGATTTACCTAGGAAAATAAAAATGAAAAAGCAATATGACTAATGTTTTAATTTTCTTATATATGTTTAGATTGCTTATTTTTCTTTACATAGTATGTATGAATGGATAAAAATGATTTTGAACAAAGTTGAAAAATAAATTAATTGAGTTTGAACCAATATTTTATTGTTTCTCAATGTTTTATTTTCTTCCAAATTTCGCAAGTATTTTCCTCTAAATTTTCTCCCTAGCATTTTCGGCGTTCCAACTTCCAAGGGGATCCTAAAGTGTCTGTTTTACTTATCCTCATTAGGGTACGGAGGGTATTGATAAAGCAATATTGGCTCACTAAACTGCTTGTGCTTCTTTGTTATAAAGCAGCAGTCAGTCCATGCAATTTTGGATGCGATTTTCGCCATGGGTCATCCGAAAACTGTCTCTTTGCGCTCTAGTAAAGGGGTAAGACTGCGGCACTGGGAAAATGATGATGATGATGATGATTAGGGTACCGAGGGTAATGAGTGACTAAAAGAGACACTTTAGGGAAAACAAGAGATGGAATATGGAGATTTTACTTTTTTATAGTTATATGAGTACTTAAGTACTAAAAATGGATCGAAGGTATAATCTAAAGTCTAGTAATTCTATTTTTCCTAAGCTTTTTTTTAGCTTATTGGGATGGGCTCTTTTAAGTAGATTATGAGTGCACTACCAAAGCCTCGGGATTAAATGAACACAAACTTATCCAAAAGCTGTAGTATGGGATTATAAGCTAGTTTAGCTGTATTTTCTAAACTTCTTTTATGTGAAATATTGAAATGCTGATTCTTTTTTATTTCTATTGCTGCTTTTGCTAACATCAATTGTCTTCTGGATGCTCACTCACTCACTGTCACTGCACTTATGATTTCTATTGAGTCTTTATACTTTGGGAATGGCTTGAATGGGCTGGTTATTTATATGTAAATTACTTTTTACCCTTGCACAGTGTAAACAAGGGGATGGAAATGGAAGATTTCAAATTCATATATTGGATGGAATATGCTCACCGAATGTGGGGAAGAGGATTAGGTATAATGTTTGCGCTTCCTTTCTCATACTTCCTCCGCAAGGGCTATATTACTGTGCGATTAGGGCTTCGTCTCTCTGCCTTATTTGCCCTTGGTGCTGGACAAGGACTTATTGGTTGGTGGATGGTTAAAAGTGGTTTAGAGGTACATACAACATATATGATGTACTCTCTTCTGCCCTTATTGTAAGACAGTAAAGACACATTTTGAACAGAGTCAACGGTCCTTTTTAAACGGCATTGTTTTTCTCAATGAAGTATTTATATATTGTTTTCCATTGTTGAACTCTTATTAATATTTATCATGCTTAATTTTAAGGGGATTTTCCTATCATTCAAAATATATCAAATGTTCAGTGTAGGACAAAAATGAAACAAATACAGCTACCAAGCATCACTGGTCAGTGACTGTTGGTAGTTGCATTGATAATTGGCCATGACTGGTTGGTTCTTCGTAAATGATTGGTGACATTTATGTCCTAAATTAGAAATTAACATTTTTTTCGATGGGTATCCAATTAGTAATACTTACAGAAGTTTTTCTTATAAAATAAAATGCACTCAATTACAAGGCACAAAAAAACAAACAGTGATAATTTGGACTCTCATAAGTTTTGTAAGAAATCAATAAAATCAACTATTTTTCTTGGTTCGTGTATATAGGTCAGCTGTACCTTATAATAAGGTCTAGAGGAAGTATTATGTACCGTACCATTGCATTGATATTGATATAAAATATTATGTCCTTAAATTTTATATATATTCGTTTCATTTGCAGGACCCACCATCAGAGTATGTCATACCAAGGGTGAGCCCATACCGCCTTGCAGCTCATCTTACATCGGCTTTTGCCATTTATTGTGGCCTCTTTTGGACGGGTCTCTCTGTTGTTATGCCCGAACCTCCTGCCAAGTCACTTGCCTGGGTACAAGGAGCAGCAAAAGTAAAGCGTCTTGCCCTTCCAGTTGGTATCCTCGTTGGACTTACAGCTATCTCAGGTGCATTTGTTGCTGGAAATGATGCTGTATGTAAACATCGGTTCTATGTATTTGGATCACCATGACATATTTAAAAAAAGGCTTGCACAGTTATGAAACTCACACACATTTTAATACCGCTACCTCTGTTCCCAAAAAGAGCCATGTTTTAATTTTATTGTTAAGGTTAAGAATGACTCCCCCCAGGACGAAGGTAGTGTTTGAATTCCAGCTCCTATCTCTATGGGGAAAAAGTGTTCTTGAGGGAAATTTGTTGGGTGGTTTTAATCCAGGGTCATGCATTCAATACATTTCCTAAAATGGGAGACCAGTGGATTCCAGATGATGTTTTCAGTGTGAAGCCACTCATCCGCAACTTCTTTGAAAACACTGCAACTGTCCAGGTAAATGTCATCCCCGGATAACTATTTTATGCCTATCTCCATCACAAACTCAGCTTGTGCAGTTTAAGATTTTTATCGTCTTAGGACCATCTACCAGCTCAAGATTCCAAGGATGAAAGACTTCAAATTTAGGTGGTGAATGGTTGCCAGAACCAAAAAGAAATCATGAATTTCATTTATTTTACTTTTTTATCAGTTCTTTATTAAATTTAAAAATAATAATCCAGGAAAGAATTTTCATTGAAAGTAAACATAAAAATAATTAAATAATAAATAAGTTCCGGAATTCATTATTTTTTTAATCTTAAGTTGATAGTTTCAACTTTCAACCCTTCAGGTTCTTAATTGATAGTTTCTGTGTTTCATGTCCTTGAATGATTGGTAAATGGTAATTATCTTTCGGGTCTTCAAGTCTTCAACTGATAAAATTCATGAAGAAAAAAGAAAAGTTGGCAGCTAGATACTCCATATATATGAATTGCTTGCTGATAAATTTCTATTGGCTGAATTGTTTGCTATGTTTCATTCTTTTTATTTTTTAATTGTATTCATTAAAGTTGTTTAGAATTGTTTTTTATGTTCAAATCTGTTATCTGGAATTCTGCAGCTTGACCATCACATACTTGCCACTGCAACATTAACCTCCATAGGTGGCCTATGGTGGGCAACAAGGAAACTAGACATCCATCCTGCGATACGTTCTTTAATCGGAAGCACTGTGGGCATGACTGCTCTTCAGGTAGAATACGGGAAAATGAAAAATTAAAAATGATAAATTTTCAAACATTTTTAGCATATAATTAGTTTTATGTGTTTAAATAATACATAACTAAATAAAAATGAGCATTAATAAATATCAGAAAAAGTTACGGAGTTTTGTTTATTTGTTTTTATATTTTCCCCAACAATTTCTGTTAATCCAATTAATTCTCTAATTTCTACTTCCTTTTTATTTCCCCTAGTAGTTTCTGGGAAACAAATGTCAAGGGAAATAGGTTTTATATACCTTGGGTTGTATGAAGGAGAATCAAATTCCCTACACTTTTGTGTAGTTTGAACCGAAATTTTCTTGCATCCATTTTTATACTGTAATTTTTATTTCAGTGTTCCAAATAGACCTGATAGGTTTCGGGATCTGCTGCATGTCCTTAGGACAAACAATACATTCTTGTTTCTTTCGGCTGTCCGATTGAAATCGGGTGGTTGTGATCCCGCAAGCAGCAATGGAACCCCTCTTCCCATGTACAGACTACAAGCTATAATCTGTTTAATTCACAGGTCAGCTTGGGCATATCAACACTTCTTTCGTACGTACCTGTTTCATTAGGGACAGCTCATCAAGCCGGAGCTTTGACTCTTTTAACACTTATGGTTCTGCTCAACCACACTGTGAGGCGCCCTTCTTTGAATCTTCTCAAGTCATTGCCTCCAATTACAAGAACAGTATGAATGTATGATTGCTTCTTCTTCTGTTTTTATATTTATATATATATATATATATATATATATATATATATATATATATATATATATATATATATATATAAGTCAAATATTCTGATGAAGCTTTTGCTTCTCTGCTTAACTATTTTATCGCTTTTTGTTTATTAAAATGCTGATATCATTTTACATTTGTTTTACGCGGCTTAGGCGAGTCATGAACTGTGATATTTCAACCATGAATAAACAACAAGTGTAATATTGTTTAGCTTGGCTCTTTAATCTAGCAATATCGTTATTGTAAGATGTCGGTTTTAGTAGAATTTGGGGATGATTTTTATTTTCGTTTTCTTAAATGATGGTGTCAGACTGCCAGGTCATATGTGACCTGGACTGAGCACCAAGCCAAGACTAAGCCGGGATCACGGAAATCATAAGTTGGAAGAGTGAACCGGAAAGTTTTGGCCCAAGAGACCAAGTTGGGATTGGACAGAGTCATTCCCAATGGACTGGACCAGACCGTTTTGATCTTTTTTTTTTAAATGTTTTTGTTTAAAAATATTAGGCTATTATCTATGATTGTCCAAAAACAACTACCATATTGGCTTTGTGTTTCTATTATTTTTATGTGTCTTGTTTACTCTACGAGCTTTGCCAATATATTTGTATCATATATTTTGGTGAGTGCAATACAATGCATTCTATATTTCTATATGAAGATAACACATCCATCATTCAGGAATAAAGCATAGTCTAGATTCAAATAATTCAATAGTAGGAATTATAGGATACTTGTTTGAAACTCCTAGGAAAAGGAGTATGAAATAGAAGAAAGTTTAAAATCTAATGGAATTATAGATGCATTGTTTTAATATTTGATGATTAAATTGTCATTTACGACTTACGAGTATTAATTATTTCCTAAAAAAGAAAAGTGAGAACCTTAGAATGAGACGAATGGAGTATTTGTTAGATGTTTATCTCGAATTGTCTATTTTACAACTTATCGGAATGCGCTCCTAACCAAGGTATACATCTAGAAACAAACTATTTGGGGAAAAAATCAATGATGAAGTTGATAAGTTAAAATGGGGGTTATAAAACATCAAAACGAGATCTAAGATTTTTTTTATTTGATAGCGGTGAATATTTAAAGACCACATGGTTAGATGTAGTGATGGACCCGGGCCGGGCCAAGGCCCGGTCGGGCCTCGGGTCAGGTAATGGTAGGCCCGGGACCGGCCCGGGCAATGGCCGGTTCCGGTTCGGGCTAGGCCACCCGCCGGGCCGGGTCGGGCTAGTAATTTTTTTTTTAATAATTATATATTATACAAATTCCTATTAAAAACAAAGTTCAAGTGCATTTATTTGAAATAAGAACAACATTTGAGAATTGAGAAAAAAATAACAATACGAAATACATTTTCTAATGAATATCAATTGAGATTTCCGTCACCGTTGGTTGTTGTTTTCCCTCTATCACAAGACTTCATATGTTTTATTGGCATCCCGTATCCGTATGAACGCCCAAGCAACACTCTTTCTTGCACCACCTGCAAGTTGCCCACCACAGTCCGGTCTTCGGGTCCTTCCACTTGTCAAAATACAAGCCTTTTTAACTGTGTGTGAGTTTCATAACTGTGCAAGCCTTTTTTTAAATAAGTCATGGTGATCCAAATACATAGAACCGATGTTTACATACAGCATCATTTCCAGCAACAAATGCACCTGAGATAGCTGTAAGTCCAACGAGGATACCAACTGCACCCGAACCGGACCCAGACCCAAGAACCAGGCCGGTTCCGGGCCCAGACCCAAGAACCAGGCCGGTTCCGGGCCGGGGCGGCCCGAACCGGGTCCACGCCTAGTGTAACACCCCGGCCACGCAGGCCCCGGGGTAGTTACTCCAGACCTCTAATACTGTCCCCACAAACCACCACAAGTCTTTACCGCGCACTTTGTCTTCATTCATGCGCGCCCTGAAAAACTTCCCAGGGGGTCACCCATCCCAAGACTAGTCCCGAGCAAGCACGCTTAACTTTGGAGTTCTTAGGTAATGAGCTTCCTTAAAAGGAGATGCACCTCTGTTGATATGAGTAGTACTATTAATCCATTTATATTAAATCTCAAGTGTTACACCTAGTTAGATGTATCTAAACAAGATAAAATAGAAATAATAATTGATGTTTGGAGCAACATGTTTAGAAATATATCAACATTCATTTATAGAGAGAATTCCCTAAATAGGAGTAAAAACATTTTAAAATTCCAAAATAGGAGTATCATGTTTTTTATTCCCTGAATGGGAGTAAATTTCTGCCAACTTTGGCATTACAACTTTACAAGGCTTTAAACATGACATTGTTTTCCAAACTTGGTAGATTACTTCTATTCAGGGAATAAAAAATATGATACTCCTATTTTGGAATTTCAAAACGTTTTTATTCCTATTTAGGGCAATTTCTGTAAATTTTTATGTTCTTTCATTTGACACCAATGTTGCATGTATAGTTTTAAAAATAAATTGAAGAACATTCGGTGTCTAATTGAAATACCAAAATTCAAAATTATTTTTCTAATCATGATTTATTTCCCACAAGACCAAGTTTAGGCTAAAAAAATTATATGAGACCAATATTACATACATAGTACGGAGTATATAACATTAGGAAAAATTGAAATATCTACTTCATTGGACCAAGTTTAGGCTCAGATTTTTCTTAGCGGAGTCGGTATATATGCAATATTGGTATGATATGATAGACCATAAAAATTATGAATTTTGCTATAATATTTTTGTCTAAGCTTAGTTTGGTGAGAAAGAAATTTCAATTGGAGATTTGGAGATACTAAAGTACAATTTTGAATTTTGATATTTTAATTGAACATCGCATGTTCAATTAAAATTATATATTCAACATTTGTGTCAAATGAAAGATCACAAAAATTATGAATGTTTATATATTTTTATATAAATTGGAGCAAAAATAAAAAAGATATCCATTTAAAGAAAATGAATGTTTTTTAATTTGAGATCCCATCTTTGAGGTTGGCATTTGGATTGTTGCGATGAATTATCATACGTAAGTCACCACTCAACAGTATTTTGAGAATTATTTTTAACTCAATCCTATTTTCATAATTATTTATTTAATTTGCATTAACTCGATAAAACTCCATGAAGTATCCTTCAATACTATTCAAATATTTAAAACTAAAATATACGGAGTATCAAATACCAGAGTATCATTTTTGAATACATCAAAATTGCTAACAAAACATTATTAGTATTTTAGCATAGTGAAGAACAAATATTTTTAATTTTGTAAATATATTTATATATGTTCATTAGTATAAAATTCTATATAGCAATTGACCATGTTTTTTAGTATTGACCGGGTTGACCCGTCATCCGATCTTTCATCTGGGTCACTTCCCAATTCGATTTTTAAAACAATGAGTATATAATGTACAGTAGAAAGGTACTCTACAGTCTACGAGTATATAACAACTAAACATGATACAAGTTTAACATAAAAAGGTAGTAGGATAGACTTCCTGTGAAGTTCATTTATTCACAAGTGAGCAAAGTCGTGGCAACTGGCAACCGTCTAAGAAAGGGTAATTCTATAAACAACACCCAAATTACTATGTACAAGTGTACAACCACTAATTTAAATACGATAGTATTAATTAATTAAATTAACTCAAATATCTGAACTGCTCTTATTATAAACAACACAACCATCGTTATACACATCATCGTTAAATTCAGCCAATGCTTCTGCTGCGCAAGTACTCATACTTGAAATGCTGAAACCCTTTGCCCAAGTTCCACGATGATGAATTCAATTTTCAGCTTCATTCAATTTGATCAATGAAGTTAGCTCGCACCCTGCATCAATAAAATAGGAAAAAAAAGCTTTATGATTTGTTGTACAATTATCACACACCTTCCAGAATCTATGAAATTTGAACGGAGACTAAAAAATTCTTGATACAAACAAAACACTAGTGGTAGTCAGATCCATTTTTTCCACAAACCCCTTCTTTAAATTGAATTTGGGGATAACCATGTTCCAAATCCGAATGGTATACCTTCCAAGAATCAACTTTCAGAGGCCAAATAACAAGAGCTATCATTGTGCGCACATAATTGCAACCCAAATTCTAATTTGCTTGTTTTTCTATTTAGTTTATTCAAAAAAATAAGTATATTTTCTAGTACTTGAATTTTACTTCTATGTTACCAATTCAATTATCATTTTTTAGCACAACTGCAATTATCAGTGCAGAAAACAAATTGAAACTATGTCAAGACATAATTTCTAAAGAGCTCCTCCTCCTCTCACCTACAATGCGGCTTTCCTTATTCTCAAAATTATGTATTTGTACCAGAATATAGGGTTGTGTAGCAAATTGGAAACATTTTAGACTTGACTCCGCAGTCGAGTGGGAGACCCCATATTTAGTTCATATTAAGGATTTTAGTGGCATACTTTCAACACATGAGGGTGGTCCAAGTGAGGAAGTTATTAACGTTGAAGAAAACAAATAGGGAGGGCATTTCGGGCACTCCCCGGTGGAATTTTTTGATGAAATTTTTTGAAAACAAATAGGTACATTGTATGAATGGGAGAAGGCCTCAGTCACATTCATTGCATCAATAGGAGTATATGGCTTATGATTGAAACAGACTAATTTTCCAGATATTACATTTCACGAATGAAATAATACATGATTAAGAGGTTACTTGGTGATAGGTTGGGGTTAGTTATTTGAAAAGCTTGAGCTGATTCAGTAAGCTTTCTCAAGTATATTTTTCAAAACAGCTACCTGAACTCTAGTTTGTAGTTTCAGTTCAACCTCATTTTCTAAAGAAGATTTCTAAGGCATTTTATTTATATATGTTATTGACTAATTTTATCAGGTAAATTTTACCAGATAGTATAGCAGCTAGCTTGTATAGGTGTATACTATAACAACTGAAAATCTATGGAGTTTTAATTTATAATTTAGTAAATGAATAACCTTGTTTTAACCTAGCTTGTTAAGCAAAAGATTAAATGGGCATTTCATCTTCCATGCTCTTCGTGACCTAATAAAATGCCAGACCAAGTAAACCTATACAGCTTACATTAAACCCAAAAAGGAAAAAAACTACAGTTTAGTTAAGCCATTGAATTTACTACTAATATGTGTATTTAATCACAGAATATACTACAAGTACTACTTTACTACATCACTCCTTTGAGCCGCTCTTCTCCATTGTCCATTTGACAGTACATATTAGGAAAAAGTTGTATTTACTACTACATCACAAAATTGATTACAACAAAATGGATTTTTAGGGAATAGACTCGATAGAAGCATAGTGAAAAAACCAAATAAATCTGATTATCATCAGGAAATAAGACTTACTGCGTAGATTTGAGTCTCATGTTGGATATGGACAAATTGTCAATCTCAGTAACCACCAGGTCCTTACGGAGGAAGACTAGAGTTCCATCTGCAATATTAACAGGGATAAGAACCAAGAGAGCTACAATAGCTACTGGTCTGGATATTATTAAACTGTCAAAGACAGATAATTCATTACTTAGGAATAAAAAAATAAAGGAAATTAAAAATATAAAATAAATAAATGCACAACACACATACAAATCGTCTTAAAATAAAGCCTACATTAACCTCCATCCATCAGAATTGACCTTCATCAAAATAAAGTTGCACCACATTCACCACTT